GCCAGACAAGCAAATTCCACTGCCTGTTTCAAGATTTCCCCTTCAAGAGCCCAAAGGGCCTGACTGGAGCTGGAGCTCCTAAGATGCAGAATGGCTGAAAGTACATGGCCAGACCTGACTATGCCGGGCACCTCCAGCAAACAGTCTTTGGCCACTGTGCCACCTCTTCCGTCTCAAAGGGATTTCAGGTACGCAAGTCTCTTCCTCCTTTGGTTTTGAAACAGATATGCTCACTTTTCTCTACCTTGGTATGCCACAATGTCAGGGCTCTCTTAGGCCAGAAATGCAGCACCAAGAGGAGTTGCCAGTGCTGCACAGAGCCACAGAATGGAGGGTGACAGAGAGAGCCCGACAGCTGTGCTGACAGCAATGCCTGCTTGTTGCTGTGGCTCACACATCAGCAGTGGGGGAGTCCACGTGTAACGAAGTCACACATTTGCCGTGGGAGTGCTGGGGGTTTCTTACGCTCTCTAGGATGCGGGTATGCCTACAGGTGTCCTCATGGTGTCACACTCTGGTACATGTGAGACAAGCAGCAACTTTTTAAAGCTCTGCTGATGGAGGCTGGGCTGACACTGGTGATGAATACGACAGCTTTACGTAGGGCCAGTGCTCATCTAAAAGCACCTAAGCAGCAACCCAGCAATTTCCCATTGCAATACTTTTTAAAAGGCCTCAGCTAAATAGCTATGTATGCAATATGAAACCTAATGCCAGCGAATTAAGCTGAAAAAAACCCAAACCAACAATAAAACAAAAGTCTTACGAGAACAGAGAGGCAGAGAAATCCTTCTCCTTTTGGTAACTGCTAGCATAGTCAGAGCTGATAGCAGAACCTATTCTGGTTCAGTGGAAAAATTCTGAGAGTGTCTTTTTCTGCAATTTGTATTAATGAAAAAAAAAAAATAATCTAAGTGAGCAATTTAATAACTGCAATTCAGAGCTCTAAAAGCCCCACACTAGTCTGAAAACAAATAATTACAAAAGACTACAAACAGTATTGCTTGAGGAGCTGAGAATGACAGCGGATGTCTCCATGGAATAATTAACACCACATAACATTAGTCTGTTATTGTTCAGGCAGGCTGATTTTCAGACTATTGTGTTTAGTTCCTCCCCTCTTACAGAACATTTGTGTGTTTCACTACCTATTAAGACAGTGCATGCCCCATGCACACAGCTGAAGTCATCCAGTCCAAGTGTGAGCAAAGGCGAGCAAGTGGCAGGACCCCGTTGTCCCAACCAGCCTCACAGCCAGCTCCAGCTCTAGTGCACAACAGCCTACTCCGATCACAGGTTACTCTTGCATGGGCGTGTGCAAGGGAACGCTAATTCTGTTGGGATGCTGCAGAGCTCACCTTGCAAGCTCGGTAGAGGTACTTTTTGTCCTGAGTTAGGTTATAGAGAGACAAGAAGGAGTAGCCATTGCCAGCAGTACCATGGCAGATCCCATATCCTTTTCTCAATAAACCTCTCTGCCAGATGACATCGCTACAATCCATTGCATCTTTCAAGTATTTATCCTCTTTAAAAGTCTGTAGAATAAAAACAGAGAGTAAACACATACAAATTGAAGTACTAATGAAAACAAAAAGAAACTGGACCCAAGAGATGTTTTGCTGCTGGTGTGGGGTTTTTGCATGCACAATTTATTTTGAACTTTAATAATCCATTCATCATAGTTTTGCCTTTCTTTTCTTACTAAGTTGTTTCTCCTTTCCCTGCATGGAATAAGAAAGAACTTCAAGTTGTTGCTTCTGAAATCAGGACCCCAAAGGAAAAACTCAAGTTCAAGGCCCTTGGTTCTACAATCTATAATCTATTTGAAGAGTGCATGGTCCTTTTTCGCTTCTCCCCTCCATTCCCAAACCACAGCATCATTTGATTTGAAACACAGAAATGAAAGAAATGTAACGCATAATACTGGCTATCAAATTTGGTCCTAAATGGCTAAGTCCTGGTCTTTCTGAGTATTTCTTCTTGGTTACTCACCATCTGCCTTCGTTTCCATGTCAAAAATGCACAAGAATATCTCTTTCCATAGCACAGGGCTCTTTTCTCTGTCACAAGTACAAGCAGGAACACTCCATTGCCTTGATTAGTATTTGTATTGAAAATACTCAGGAGCACTAGACAGTTTAGGTGAAGGACCAATTTTGCAAAGTTTATTGCAACTGAAGTGCATTTTGGACACAGAGAGCCCATCAAGAGAGCAGAAAACAAAAGCAAGTAACTTGGCTGAACACCACCAGACTTCCACCTTTATAAGGCTACCTACTTGCTCCCATTTGCCTAAGTCACTCTACAGATCAACAAGACGAAAAAGTAACTGATGCACTACTGTAGACTCAGTCCTTTAGAGATAGCATCCCCTGCCAGCCTATTTAATAAGGTAAGAGAATCCATTAACATGCAAGATTCTTAAATCCAAAAGCTTGATACAGAAAGTGCCTCTCTCTGAACAGGGTTCGTCAGCTACTTAGCTGTAACATTTCAAATTAAGGCCTGGCAACAGCATTTGATTTCCAGGACAAACACTGCTGTCTGTTATCCCAAGTCCCTGCGCTTGGTCTGAAAGCATAGCCAACAAAACATATTCCAATTTTTCTTATTGCTTCTTCAAAAAGCAGAATATAAGGAGTAAAAGAAAAGCATCATATGCCCCATCACCTTAAACATAAAAAGAGGCCAGAAAGGAGACTGCTAAGCAGAACTTGGTCCTACCCCTCTTATCTCCTGCAAAAC